GAGTGAAGAACCATTTGAAGGGACTTATGATCATTTGGAAACAAAAAAAATTGTTTTCCTTGTCTTTTTTCTCCATATATAAAAACACGTTTCATGTGTGTAAATATTTCTCCTCTTCCCTTCTTTCTCCATTTTGTCGTCTTCATTCTTCATGAGTATTAACCTCCTCACTAGTGCTGCTAGATTCATCAAACGCCATCAACTGCAATACAAATAAACCCATAAGCTCAATAATCCCTTCTTATTTGTTTCGCATTTTATTAAAATCCCGATTATGCGTGTTGCATTAGCGTTTACAATCTAAACATAAACATGTCAAGCAAATTCTTTTATTGAGGCGCTTGCACATTCCAACAACATTTCACAAAACATGTAAGAAAATCGAACCAAAAATGGAGAGTAAACGAACCTGTTTGATTTCACCGTTCCAAAGGCAGTGAGAAGCCAAGAACCCGATTACGGCTGGGACAATGTATAACAGAGCAGGCTGAAACAGAGGCAAAACACAAACCAAAGTCCTAAGAAAAAAACCAGAATAAGGTTTGCAATAACGGATGAACAACAATTCAGGACACAAACTGACCTGTGCTGCTTGAAACCAGTTCATGACCACAATAGTGAGGACAACACCAACAACGTATCCCACGAATGCACTTGTGAAGTATTGTGGTTTTCTATGTCTTGACACATCAAATCTTAGAGCTAGTGCAACAAAAATACCCGGAATGACAATGTCACCAAGCCCAAGCATAGAATACGGTCTTAGAGCATCACCCGTAGGGAACAAAAGCTGAAAATTATATGTAACAATGGGATTACCGACATAATCACTAAGAACAAATCAAAATTAATTATTGTGATGTTTCGAGACATTCTTACTAACCTTTATCGGAGCATCAAAGGATTTGGCAACACTAACCATAACTGGAGTAAAGAAAACCCAGAAAATGTCATAGAAAAATAGTCCTACCTGCAAGTCAAGTATAAACAAACACCATTGAGACCCACTCAAGTCTTACTTTCGTCTAAAATTTCCAAACGGCTTTTCAAGAATAACATTCAACAAATGCATATCAGATGTTTTCTTTTTACCAAAAGGATGGCACCAGTCTTGAATGATCCAAGAGAGAGCATCTCAATTCCCTGCAATGGCCACATCGTTGATTAGTAAAAAGACACACTCACTCAATAACACTAATGACATCCAGTTCAAAGAAAAGTTAAATAATATATTTCAATAATGAAGCCACATAATTAATTGTAATCTTATATATAATATTCCTCAGAATGGAAAGGAAGTAACCTGAATGCAGAAGGAAAGGCCAAGAACATTGTTAGCCAGCCAATGTTTTTTCCAAGCATACCATGCGCAGAAGAAGGTTCCAGGGATTCCCGCAACAACTTGAGACTTGGTGAACTCTACCTCCAAAGCTGTTTAAGAAAAATGTGTCGGGAAAAAAAACATTTATTCTGCATGACACAAACAGGTATAAACAAATGGATACAACAATCACTGGATAGAGTAAGAGAACAAAAACAGATTTGCAACAGGTACAATCACATAGGAGCGTAATTGATCGTTACATTAGCCAAATTAGCATTACTAAGACTAAGAAATAGAGGACAGACAAAACAATAACATCGCATCCAAACATAAAGGCTAGTAAAGAAAGTAATTCTTAGTTACATACATTTGAAGTAAGGAAAACGCCAGACGATCAGATTGTCATTCCAAGGAGTAGGCAAAAATCTTCTAATAGAGGGTAATAATGTCGCTCTGCAAACACACAAATTTGTGAATTAGGAAAACAAAAAGTAATTGAACTGACCATGAACACACGACAAAAATCCAGAAGCATAGTTTAGATTAGACATACGAAAGCGCGACAATCCCGAGAACAAAGAAGTAAGCTGTTAGAACAGCATTGACCAAGTCCTTGGAGAGAAACTTGAACAATAAGAAAAGTGAGAGAAGCATAGCACTCCCAACCAATGGGAAACGCATGGCATGTTCTCTCGACATCGTCTCCTACATCATTTCAAACACAAACCAAACAATTTAAGATCGAATTTGGAAAATGGTTTCACTGAGAGAACTCTGGTTTGCGTCTTCTTACTGTTGGCGGTGAATCCTTCACCGAACGAAAGCAACCCACATAAACTGTGATGCATGCCGTGAGAATAACATTCAAATTTGGATTCACTCTCACAACAAGTGGTGCCAATGTCAAACCTGTAACCCAACAAAAATAAACCTCAATTTTGAAACTTTACGCCAAAACTATAAACGATCAAACATACCCACCAAACCTAAACCCTAATTGATCTGAAACAGCTTACGTAACCCCAGAAACAACAACAAAATCGAACAATTTCAGATGATTCCAATAAGAACGATAAACCGAAAAAGCATCACGCAAATCCTTAAAATCAAAAGAAACCCATTACACGAAAACAATCAAAACCAATCGAAATTGAAACCCAGAAAGTGGAATTGTAAAACAATCCATAAGAGTGAAAGGAAACGAGAACCTGCGAGAGCGAGATTAGCGAATTTCTCACAATTCTTCATAATTGATCTTTTGTGTTTCGTTTCACTCTATACGCTTATGAATGTGTATGTATAGAGAGAGATCCAGTGGTGGGGTCAAGAGAGAGAATTTTCCACCAGATCTGTTAAAACAAAAAAATTGGTG